GTCCCAGACTCCTTCCTGGTTTAAAGTTAAATCAGAGTCCCACACCATCCTAGCTGCTTTGCAACTCTGAGCAGGGCTTTGCTCCAGCCCAGCAGCGCTGGCCCCACCCCTCTGTTCCCTGGCTGGAGCTCTGCCAGAGACTGCAGGCACAGTGGCATCTGCCTGGATTCCTCCTACTCACTACCCCCCCTCCACTACCTGCTCAAGCAAGGATTCCCCCTGCCCCTCTGCCTTACACAGACACCTCTCAACATTAGCTAGCATACTACATATACTGGCCACGGTCTGTGCTGTGGGAGACTGGACAAAGGCAGACAAGACAGTGTTGGCTTAGGGCTTTTTGGAGCTAATCAACAGGTAGTTGGTAATGTCCCCCTGTTCCTTCCTCGGAAAAAGTTTTTTAAGAAGAGCTTGAACTAATGAGAAGCTTTTGTTTTGTTTGATGGGCTGATAAATGTTAACAACTCCAGGTGTAACTCCCTGCTGTGTAACTCAATGCTCCATTATCAACAGCAGGGGGTGGGGGAAACCCCTCCCTAATCAGAGCGTCCCACTGATGCCTGGCCATGCCCCCCCCTCAGCTCAGCAATGCGGAAGGGAAGGGAGGGCTGCTCTAGCACCCGCTCAGCTTCTAGCCTGAGCCGCCGCAGGTATGTGCCTCCATTTTTTCAGTCCAGAGGGGATGTCTGTACCAACCGGTTCAGCCTAGACAGGATAAACCTAACCTGCAACGATTGAATCAACTCAGGCTCAGGGTTTTTGAATGTCTGTCCCTAGTCCAAGGGCATTTATACACATACAACTGCCTGCTCTGACACGCTGGAGAGCCATTAAGTCAGAGCAGATTTGATTAAATTGAGCCTTCTCCACATGCAAGCTGATGGGTCTTCAGTGTGTTTTAGTTTAAAAGCATGCTGCTGCTATTTTCTCACCGCTGACACGCATCCCACCATTTATACAAATGTATGTGCCACAGCACCGGGCACTTTTAAAAGCGCCAAGTGCTGCAGCACAAACATGTGTACAATGCCCCACATGCCCAGCCAAGTGAGGAGAAAGCTGCAGCGGGGTGGCTCCTGCCCCAATCTACTGGGCTTCAGCTCCTGGCTGCCTTCTACCCATTCCAGCCACTTGCTGGGAAGCCGCACATACTGGCTGGGGTTGGAGCTGGGGCGATGCTGCCAGTGAGCATGGGATGGATGTGGCTGGAAGTGTCCATGGCAGGACGGGGTGGTGCTTGGTCCCATGAGGAGTGCTACAGGGGCAGCCACAGGCCAGATACAAACAACTGGCAGGCCAGATGTGGCATATGGGCTGCATTTTGCCTATCCCTGCCCTAAGCACAGACAATCCTAAAAGAACAGATTATGAAAATTTTAGATAATATCTATAGAGATTTTAAAAACATGTTGGGTTTTAATTTTCCTTCCCCTATAAGCCTTGCACAATTGGATCCAAGATAATGAAGGCACATGTAGGCATTAGGACACAAAAGACATTCCCAAATAAAAGTACTTAGAACTCCAAAACTTAAGTACACGTGATGTCGCATTTTAAGAGCACGCGACTATGCAAGGATTGAGCCATACTGTCTATTTCCTGTAACTCCAGGGGAACAACATATCTGAAAAGATATTTAACTAGATCTCTACAGATTCCACTTGCAAGTCAAAAAGAAAAAAATGCAGCTTCACTTGTACAAGTAGAGCATGTGTCCAGAAAAGGCAGTTTGACAAAAGTATCCTTATGCACATCCCAACAATACATAACTTCTAGAATGACACCCTCCTCATCCCCCTCATGGGATGAGAATTATACCTGATGTAACTGATACTAGCTTCTGTGTTGCCAGAAGCTATACTGGTAATGATCAGGAGGAAAATGTTCAGGATGGCTCAAAACCACTCAGAACCCATCAAGAATGAGGAAAACATACACTGATTATAGGAAAAGATTAAATCTTTTATCGTAAGCAAAAGGTGACCTGCATTACTCACAAATGTCTGGTCATGGTCTTAGTCATTACATTTCTACTGCCAGCCTCCTGGTAGAATTATAAAGCATACAAGTGTTCTGCCAGAGTGTCAACCAGGGAGATCTCCCTTGTGAGAGGGTTTCTCTCAAGAGTGAACATTTGCATGCTACCTTCCTGGCCTGGTTCTGGTTCGGGAGGAGTCTGGAGAAGGGAAGCCAAGCCCCCTGACCCATTTCCCTGGCCAGGATCTCCAGTCAAAAAAGCTGGGGGCAGAGCAGAGGAGAAGCTGCTTCTTGACCCCTCCCCAATCCACCCCTTTAAGTCCTTCTCTGGTGGTGGGAATGGAGCACGGCTGCAGGCTGAATGGTGTACACTCTCTCTCAGAAAGATTTCTACCAGTAAAATGAACAAAGTTGCTACACATCCTGCCATATCTTGATTCACTATACCTCTACACACAGCCAAATCGCTTCAACACCCCAAAATCTGATTAATCAAGAAACATTCATTAAAGTAGATTTTGTTTCTAAAGATAGAAAAACAAGTCCCCCTGGTGGAAGCAAACAAATATGTCTACTTATTAGCGAAGTAAGCGTAAGCAGGTTGGTGCCACGCAGGCAGGCTTTGCTCCCTTACGCGTCCTTCGGAAGTAGGTTCCCAGAGCCAGTTCTTATAACACAAAACAGTATTCCTTGGTCCACACAAATAAATGAATACAGTAGGCCTTTAGACTTTCTCCACGTGGCAGGAGAGAAACTCTAATTTTGGTTCCCTCCTAGAGGTGGATTTTGCCGAGTTTCAGTCTGTTACCTACCTGCAAACTGTTCCTTCCCCCAACACAACTTCTTTGGACTTTTAACTGCCAGCTAATCACCCACAGGTCAGTTCCTACCCCAGGGATGTCTGCCATTCGTAAGGCCACACCACTGTGTTATACTAAGCTAATCACATTAACAGTCCACTGCATGCAACTTACCAATGAGAGCACAAAATTGAGAAGGGCTGTCCCGCTATGAAAGAGGATAGTTACTAACGTTGTTACTGTGGTAAACAGCAGGCTCACGTTCCGACTCATTACTATCCACAGAGACTCCAAGATCTAGAAAAGAAAAGAAAAAAGAAACAGATACATGAAATCACTACTTGAAGCTAAGTGACCTAAAATACAGAGAAGCTCAGAAAATGATTCCTCTCTGCAATGATTCTTCTTTCCACCAGGAAAAAAAATGGTTTAGAGAAAAACATTTTTTGTGCAACTCTTAAACTTTTCAATTAAGCCAAATGAGCATGTTCATTTTGTCAGCCAAAGTTCCCAGTTTCCATCCAAAAATGTTCTGATACAAGTTCATTAACCAACTCTAATAAAACAGGAGAGCAGAAATGGAAAAGAACACTAGAACCTGAACTAGGAAACTTAGAAATGAAACTTGACCTGTCTCCTAAGTCAGAAGTATTCATTCTTCAGTATAGTCAGTTCCCCCCCAAATTCAAGCCAGCAGCTTGTCTGGCAGGTAGAAATATAAACTTGTGTTAAATACTTTTTTTTTTTTTTTTTAAAGTGTTTTCAGCTACTGAAACAGTTTCCCTCCCCTGCACCCCAACCCTATACAGGAAGTCACATGATGCAGGAAAGAATATTAAAAAAAAATGAGGCGGCGGCAGATGTAAATTAAAACAGGAAGCAAAGACCTGTTATGACTGTGATGCTCTTGTAGACCAATGTGATTTTGGAGCAGAATGTGATCACCTTATTGCAGAGAAAAAGGTTAGAACCAGGTAAAAGTCAAACTAATTAAATTTGTTTTTTCCCTAAAAATTATTAAAATCTCAGTAAAATTAACTAACACGAATATGAGTTTCAGCATCAACACTTATCAAATCTACTTAAACATAAAATTTAGCTGAGCAACGTGTCATTCCTAATGCTTATACAAAGAACGTGAGATTATTCGTGCCCTCTTTCTGTCCCAGTTGGATTGCACCAATATATTATACTGAGGTACCAAGCTCTGAGCAAACTCCAGCTAGTATAGAATGCTGCAGCATCTCCAGAAAAACCCTAGCTACCAGAAACACTTCATACTTGTTCTGGCTTCCCACAGAATAAATAGTCCAATTCATTGTATTAGTCCTTACGTTCAAGGTGCTTAACAGCTTCAACACGTTGTTTAAATAAAGCTGGGGAACAAGACTGGTTGATACACAACTTTGGTACCCTTTTATAGTAAAAGTAAGACCTCATCTGCACAGGGGATAGAGCTTTCTTGTTAGGTTTGGCTCAAGACTGTGAAATAATTTCCTACAAAAAACAGAACCATCACGAGCCTCACAGCTTTCTGCTCCAAGTGCAAAATGGATTGTTGTGACTTTACCTTCTATAACAAAGCAAGGTGTGTATATCTAGATAGAATTTTATTAAAAATGAAACAAAACAAACTCAACCCACATATTCCTGCACATACTTCTCCCCCACACGGGAAGCGTGAAAGAACAGACATGTGATGGTTGTTAGTCATATTGCTTAATGCACTTCTGGGAAGTGCTCAAGTACCTCATTAGTGTGCATGGTATTAAAACCTATAAAGGAACAGGAGTGTATGAATGTGTTCTATAAAAATTGAAATAAGGAATGCATGTCAGAATCAGATGCCAAACATTACTGAAGATAGTTACTGTGCAGAATAATTCTCTCCCCCCAAACTAGCAAACCAAACCAACAGCATCTATTTTGGAGTAATACATCCATGGAATTAGTTATTTAATGGGAATTCAACCCTACAACTATTTTACAAATGGCTTAACAGTTCTTTTATATTGTGTTGAAGATCAGAACTATGTAAAATTCAAAAAATTCTTTGCAAGAATTTGTGCCAATTCTCCCATCCCACACTGGTTTATCTCTTTCCTGTTATTATGGTTCAGACATTCACAAAAAACAAACTGCATTTAACATTACCCAACATCTAAAAATGACCGATTATTGCAAAATATAGATAAGTAAATTGTTTCATATAAAAATACTTATTTTTTTTCTTTTATAAGTAGGTGTTTCACATTGTTTCTAGTTTAGTTGTGAATATTCCATACAGATTAATAAAATATTTATGAAGACAAGAAAACCAGAGACAAAAACAGAGCCATTAAAAAAGTAACTTCTTGCAAGAGGCTTGCTTCATCCTCTTTACAGTTTAGAAATTATGGAAACAGAATTAAAAGCTTTATAGTAGAAGTTTTTATAATAGACTTGAATATAAATATACATTCACAAAAATAAAGGAGAACCTAGACATTTATCATTGAGATAAACAGAAAACTTCCAAGGGAGGTGGTGCAGGCTCCTACCCTGGGGGTTTTTAAGAAGAGGTT